AGCTCAAGTCGGTCACTTAACCGACTGAGCCACCCAGGCGCCCCAGGGCAAAATTCTTAAAAATGTACCTGGGTCTCTCATTTAACACCTGTCACTCTGATAACGTCATGTCCCTGTAGCAAACTCCTCTAAAAAAACTGTACTTTCCTGACCAGGACGGTGTGTCATATTTAGAGTCTAGAAAAAGGCTGTGGAGCCTTTGCACAGTGGTGCTTAAATTAATTCTCCATGACGTTTCCCGTCTAGCTCACTCCTTTCTGCTGTTTTCAGAATCAGATTCCGCACTTAATCTCTCCCTTGTTTTCAGATGACAAAATCTCTCTGTTAGGCTTCAGAAAGCTGGGATTACAAAATGTTCTTATGGCTTTAAGTCCTCTGTGGTGATTGGAGAACTCAGGAAAGGATTGGATGAGATTTTGGGTTTTGGGTTGTTTTTTTTTTTTTTTTTTTTTGGTGGGGAAGGGGCAGTCAGTGGACTGAATAGGGGATTCCTTTGTGGAAATCTGCCTTTGGACCCAAATGTTCATCACTTAAGAGGATTCCAAGATTTTTAAAATAAAATGAAAAGAGATGTGGGTTACAGGCATATATGCATGTGCCAAAACCGCACTGTGCATGGAAGACTGCTCCGTGTACACATTATAACTCAATAAAAAGACAAATCAGACATGCAAGACAGGCAGAGCAAAAATAATACCGACAAATAGAGCCAACTACTGGACTGTCTTAGGGATGTGAGTTATGATTTTTCAAAATAATAGCAGCTAAACTCAGTCAGTAAGAGCCTCTGACGTGAGGCCAAGGTTGTCACGAGCTGATTCCTATGTAGGCCATTTGCTCGCCACGGTTTTGTGGGGGCAGTTGGTACCACTCATCCTACTAGCAAGTTCTGTATTTGTTTCCTGGTTTCAAGGGCAAAGGAGAGAGAAAGTATAGAGCAGGGAAATTCGGTCCCCTATGGATGACTGGTGAGGAGTTACCATCTTTTTTGTTATTATTATTGAAGTACAGTTACACCCTATGTTACAGTAGTTTCAGGTGTACGACGTAGGGATTTGACAACTCTATATGTTGTGCGGGGCTCATCACCAGTGTAGCTGCCATCTGTCACCAGACAATGTCATTACAGTACCACTGACTGTATTCCCTGTGCTGTGACTTAATTCATTCCACAACTGGTTACCATCTTCTTCTAAGAACAGCATATCGGATCTCCAAATGTTAGAACATATCATCACCATCAGTCTCATTCAGAATGCTCCTCGCTTTCCTTCTTCTTTTTTTTTTTAATGTTTGAGAGAGAGAGAGAGAGAGAGAGAGAGAGCGCGAGTTGGGAAGGGTGACACAGAATGTGAAGCATTCTCCAGCCTCTGAGCTGTCAGCACAGAGCCTGACGCGGGGCTCGAACCCACAGACCGTTGGATCATGACCTGAGCTGAAGTCGGACGCTCAACCGACTGAGCCACCCAGGCGCCCCTCACTTTCCTTCCTTAATCCAGAGCAGTTCTTAGCCTCTCTGAGATCTTGACTGGGTGCAGGAGTGATCACTCTGCACTCCCACCCTCAATGCCTTACTCCTTTAATACAATACCACACACCCCTATACTCAATTGGTGGAGATATATAACATCAGTATACAACACACTGGAAGTTACCATTACATCCATGCAGTTTCCATTAGCTGAAATGCAACCCGTGTTCAGGTGACCTAACAACACTCCAGCCACATGGCCTCCTTTATTATCTGTCTCTCCCACTAGACTGTATGTTCCATGAAAGCAGAGACAGGCCTGATTTCGTCACTCCGGGATATCCAGCACTTAGCACAGGAACTGCCACATTACAGGTGTTCACCTAATACTTAGTGAAGGAGTAACAAATCAAAAGAAGCAAAGCATTGCTGTTTTTATAGAGACGAGTCTCCTGTGCTTGGACTCAGCGGAGGGGGTGGAAATGGAATTGAAAGATGATTCTGCATGGTTTGGTTTTCCCTTTCAGACAGATCATTTCTGTTGTTCGTATATAGAACCTGGGTCCTGAGTGACCAGCCAGCACAAAAGTACATGTGACCTTTATGTTTTTGCCACAGGCATGTTTTTGCCACAGGCAGGAGGGTTCTATGTTTTAATTGCCTGGAGGTTTCATCCAAAATCAGAGTCGGCCAACAGTGCAGTCTGTGAGCAGGGCGGTTACATCTGTGGCACTTGGAATTGTGCCCGGTCCCACACTGAGCAGACCTCCCCGGACCGCAAGGTTGGAAACAATGTGGGTTCAGCAAAGAAAGCTCACCTTGCTGCGGGGAATGGCCGGGCTACTCATAAAATTACCTGAAGTAAGACCCTCTCAACAGACTTAAGTATGAGCAGAGGGATGGGAGGCACTGGGAGCTCACAGATGGAACTACTTACCAACTCATGTGGAAGTATTTCGGTATTTTAACAATTGAAAGGCACCACCAGCACCCATCAGCTGATTTCTGGTCCTGAGCATCAGCAGAACCATCCCCACCGCAGGATGTCTGAGAAGCCGCCTGCCTTCTCGGAAGCTGCCGTTTCCCAGTTTGCAGATGAGATGTACAGGCAACATCTTTGCCCGGACACCTAAACATCGCGGTTCTGGCCGGCAGGACCTTGACGGGAGGCCCCTCGCCTTACAGAGTTCTGAGATAATTTTCCTTAAGCGAGGCTGACATCACTGACCTAAAGGTGGGTTCTAGGCAACTGCCCTATCTGGAGAACAATCATTCCTGCTGGTAAATGAGTCACTGGGAGAGAGAGAAATTGAGACACCTTATGAAGCAGAGCTCTGCTCCCCCAGAACTGACACAGCCCCGTCCTGTCCCCGGGCTATGTGTAACCCAGCAACAAAGATGTATACCGGGACCAGGCTGGATGAGGAAGGTCTGGAGCTAAAACCCCAAAGATGCTCAGCCTTTAATGGAGAAGGGCTTTTAGAAAAGATCTGGCAAATTCTCTGCCCTTTCAACTTCACTTTCTGTTCTCTTTTTATCTGCTTTCAGCATTTCCAATTAATCTTGGAATGAGAGCCCAAGGCAAGAAGCCAGTGGTGCCTGAGGAATGCTAAAGAGCAAACTGATCCAGGGAAACAAATGCCAGCAAGGGACCCCACAGCAAAGAGACAGACACTGTGAGCATCTCTCCCGTTACCATGAGGCTTGCGAGGCGTGTGCGCGGGTCTCCGCATTGGCACCATCTGCCAATTCCTCAGGAGGACAGAACAAACCAGCGAGGCATGAAGATTAGATTATGTAACGCTTGAGGATTGCTGTTTTCAAAGAGGAAACAAATGGAACGAATTGATTTGCTTGTCAGAGTCATGTCACTAAAGGAGACCCGTTCCCTCCTCCTCTGAGAGGACCTCATTAAAGAGGGACACGATTTCACAGATTCAGACCATGTGAGACCACAATTGACTCCATTCATAAGAGCAAGTCTAATTTCCAGAGTTGCACTGATAAATCCCACTCTGCTTGCCTGAAAAATGACTATTCAGCTACCTCCTAGGTACCAACATGGCAAGGAATTTAACTGTTGCCAGTGACCAGCCACAAGATTCAGAACCTTTGAGCTTTGCCTGAACTGAACTCACTTGCTTCTGGGGGAGCAGTACCTAATTTTGAGACCGGTGGGGTCGTGTTTACTATTCAGAGCTCTAGACAGGTGCTTTGATAGAGTGGGGATGTGTTCTTAAAAATACACGCGTCAGTAACATTGTATGGTGACAGATGGTAAAACTCCACTCATCTTGGAGAGCACTGAGTAATGTATAGAATTGTTGAATCACTATGCGGTTGCACCTAAAACTAATATAACATTGCATATCAACTATACTTTGATAATAATTTCTTTTAAATACATGCATCGAGAAGGAAAATTCGTTGCATGTCTAGGATTCTTTTGCCATGGCTGGGCTTCTCTCAAAATGCCCAGCACAATACTTTTTTATAGTATGGTCAGTAGAAGAATGAATGAATGAATGAATGACCCTGAACTTACGGCCATAGGTGCCATTCCCAAAGGTTTCATTTTCTTACTAAAATATTTAAACGTCTTACTAAAAGATTTAAACGTCAAGTCTTCACTCAACAAGGAAATGAAGTCTTCTATAACAGGTATTTTCCAATTGCCCCTTCAGGTCCACTTTTCTACCCATCCTACATCAACTCACTCCTTAGTCCTCTTAGCTTCCAGCCAATGGGAGGCAGCAGCAGAGGCGTGGAGGGCAGAAGGAGGGTGAGGTCAAAGTATTTATTCCCCCAGTTCCCTCCCTGCCAGATCACCACGGGTTGGTTGTGCTATTGATAATAGCTCACCACCGCTCCTTGTCAAGGTGGCCCTCTCTTCCTGGGTTGTCATTTCTCCCTCCTTTGAACTTCCAGATCTAGAGATGATAAAGACTGGGGCACCTGGGTGGCTCAGTGGGTTAAGCGTCCGACTCTTGGTGTTGGCTTCAGGTCATGATCTCTTGGTTTGGTCTCGTGGGTTTGAGCCCTGTGTCGGTGCGGAGCCCGCTTGGGATTCTCTGTCTCCCTCTCTCTCTGCCCTCCCCCACGCATGCCATCTCTGTCTCTGTCAAAATAAGTAAACAAATTTAAAAAAAAAATGACAAAGACCCCAGCTATTACGAGCCTCTTGGATACTGCACTATCCTTATGGTTTCCCTACACCTTACCAACCCTTGCATATAGTGTCTCTATTAAATCCTCCCCTAATTATCTATTTTGAGTGTGCCATCTGTTTCTTATGCAGACCCTGACTGATACACGTACCACATGTGTCAGCCTGTTCTAGGCCCTGCACCGCAGTGTTTTTTAAAAGTAGCAAAATTAATAATACGATATGCTACTACTTTGTACTTATTCTCAATGTTCACCTTCTCACAAGGCTATAATAACAACTTAAAGATAAAACCTAATTCCTCTTTACAACATAATTGTGCAGTAGAGTTTGTATGAGCTAAATATAATTCGGAGAACAAGCTTTTTCGTGTCATCAAAATTCATGTTAACAACTATAAAGGGAGAACTGCAGAACTGATGCCCTTGAGATTTAACAGAAAACATATTCCAGTATTGAAATCAATCACACAGATATTCAAAAGCCTACTAGGTGGCCAGAAAGGTGCTGATCTTAGTGAGAAACAACACAGACGTGGGCTCTCACTTCGTGCAATTTGTTCTTGTTTTACACGCTAAACATACTCCTAAAAAGTTGAATACCAATTGTGTTTCCATAAATCAAAAAATAGTTGTATGATCATGGTGAGCGTATTCTTCAAATAATAATTTGAATAATAATAATCACCTTTGATCTTTTGAACAGATTTTTTATCCATCCAGAGTACTTCAAAAGAAATTTGTCTTTGGTCTGTAGGGAAGATTGGTCTCCTTCCGTGCTCCTGGAATAGGAAAAATTGTGGAATAGAATTTAGAGGAAAGATAAGGGAAGTACCATTTATAGACCACATATAGAATGCCAGGCAGTTTGCATCTGTTAGCATATTTAATCCTGGAGGTATATACGTATTCCATTGTTCCCTTATTTTCTACTTCTAAAAAAAAAAAAATTAGAATGGCAGGTATGAATTCAAAATCCATTTTTTTTTTTAACAAGAAAGCAAAGCAAAAACATTCAATGCAGGACTCTAAAGATCATATTACTCCTCAGCTTCGCTGGCTTCCCACTGCTTAGGATCAAGTCCAAAATTCTTTACACTGTCACTGCTCCCGCCTCAGTTCTCTCCACCAGCCAGGCTTCTTCCCACTTGAAGGCCTTTGACCTCTGTTCCCACATCTGTCTGCAACCTCTTCTTCTCCCTTCTTTTCCAGGCTAACTCATACTCATCCCTCTGGTTTCTGCTCAGTTTACACTTCCCAGGGAATGTCTGTCCCCCCAGCTGGGCCTATGTCACTGCATCCCTAGTGCCGAACACCAGAGAAGGGCTGAACGCTCGTTTGTGCCCCGTCGCAACGAATGGGGAAGGGCTGCCCAGCGGGGCTGCCCAGCCTCATGGGGGCCAGATCTACCATTTCCCTAGGAGGGGGTTGCCTTCGCCCCAGGGGCCTGCCAAAGCCTCCCTCAAAAACGGAAAGGCCAAAAGAACCTCCTTTGAGGTTCAAGAAGGTCTTAGCTTTCTCTCTCTCCATCAAGCGGACCTACAGTCGCTCCAGGACCCTCTAGCTGAGGTGAGAACAAAACGGCCCCACTTATCCCAACAGGGTCATGACCTTCCTCCCGCCTCACAACTGCCCACTTGTATCAGCCACGTGATGCAGAAGCTGCGCATGCGCCGGAGAAGTGTTCCTCACGGGATCTCTCTTCCCTAGCACAGATGTTGGGGCATTTCAACCTGGCCCGCTTGAGGGCTGGCAGAATTAGGAGTGGGGTTTGAGAGGTCACTTGGGAGGCCATGGTGGGGTTGGGTTGCATTGAGCATAGCCCAGTAGCAGGCACTGGGCTAAAATATCTCATTGAATACTCCCAATGCCTTTGTGTAGTGTAGGGATTGATATGTCCGTTTTACAGATGGAGACACTGAAGCTCGTGTGGCAAAAACCAGGGACTTGTCTAATGACAATCCTAGGATTTGAACTCCATTTTCTGTCTCCCAGACACCAAGTCTTCTTATGTCCTTGATCATCCTTCAACAGTAAAGGGAGGGATGCCCTCTCTCCTTCCCTGTTGAACCTCAGGGATTCATGTCCTGGCTGTGTGACTGTGGGCAAGTCATGTCACCGCTGAGCCTCATTTTCATCATCTGTAAGATGACAGTATTGCCCTCTGGCCATTACTTATGAAAATTAACTTTTTTTAAGGTTATTTATTTATGTTGAGAGAGTGCATGCAACAGCAAGGGAGGGGCAGAGGGGGAGAGAGAGAAGGAGGGAGAGAGAGAGAGAGAGAGAGAGAGAGAGAGAGAGAGAGAATGAGACTCCCAAGCAGACACCGAGCTGTCAGCACAGAGCCCGACATGGGCTTTAACTCACAAACCTGGGGATCGTGACGTGAGCCGAAGTCAAGAGTCCAGCGCTTAACTGACTGAGCCACCTGGGTGCCCTGAAAATGAACTTTTCTAGAAAAAATTTGGTCATGCCTACCAGATGCCAGGTACTGCACTAGGTAGGCCTGGGATGTACCAAAGCAGAAGAGATCATGTCATTAAAAGATAGTGTACAATAGGAGATGCTAATAAATTCCAAAGCCCATCAAGAATATATACAGGAGGTTACATAATGGCAAGTGTCATGAAAAAAAATTGAGCAGGGAAAGGGAATAGGGAATGTATTGCATGGGCACAGGTTTAAGTAGAATGGTCAGGGAAGGGCTCATGAGCAGTTGGCATTTGAGCCGAGACCTGAGGAGCTGAGGGAGGAAGACCTGCCAGAGATTATTCTAGAAACCTGGGAGAGTTTGGACCCATCTCCCATTAAGAACAGATGAGATCTAAAAATGGGCCTGGCATCCCCATTGAAGCTTGCAGTTCTGTGGGCTTCCCTCATTGGAAGGTGGGAAGCTCTACTGTGGGTTTCTCACAGCTGGTCCTGGGGAAGTGGAAACAGCCTGTTACAGGTATAGGGATTCACAGTCAACAAGCCTCTTCCTTGCATCTCCAGAGAAGCAGGTGTTTCTATCAGTTGACTCAAGAAGGGTCTGCCATGTCCTTGGAAATTTCTACTTTCTGCTCCATTGAAACCAAAAAGAAGCAGGAAGACAGGATTAGGACCTGTGCTGACATTTTTCTGGAATGTCCTATCTCAGCCAGGTTCCCAAATACATGTTGAGGCTCATTCACACAAAGGCATCTGCTCAGAACCCCTAACAGATACGAGAGTGCTGGCACACACCCGCTCCCAGGCTTGAACACTTTGCACGGAAAAGTCGAGTCTGGGAGAAAAATATCAAGCCAGGCCTTGGGCAGCTCTCCTTTTAGCAAGTATTCGGAAAAGAATCCTCAGGAGCCAGGCTGAAGGGATAGAGCCCTAGGACTGTCCAAACTGGGAGGCCACTGAGTCCAATAGACCAAGGCCCAGAGAGGTGAGGTTAGCTGCCCAAGCTCACCCAGCAAGTCCAAGAAAATCTCAGTGAACCCATGCAGTCAACAAAAATGTTTTGAGCACTATATATGCACCAGGCACTGTTCCTGACACTAGGTGTGAGGCAGCGATCAAAACAGACAACAATTCCTACCCTCTGCAATGGACATTCTGTTAGAAGGAGAGAGACAATGAAAGGATAAACTAGTCATACATGTAGTATGTTAGATAATGGAACTGTCATGGAGAAAAAACATGAGCAGAGAAACAATAAGGAATGTATTGCACGGGCTCAGTTTTTTTTTTAATTTTTTTCTTAATGTTTATTCATTTTTGAGAGATGGAGAGAGACAGAGCATGAGTCGGGGAGGGGCAGAGAGAAAGGGAGACACAGAATCCGAAGCAGGTTCCAGGCTCCAAGGTGTCAGCACAGAGCCCAACGCGGGGCTCGAACCCACAGGCTGTGAGATCATGACCTGAGCTGAAGTCAGATGCTCAACTGACTGAGCTACCCAAGCGCCCCTGGGCTCAGTTTTAAGTAGAATGGTCAGGGAAGGCCTCACAAGAAGTTGGCATTTAAGCAAAGACCTGAAGGGGCGCCTGGGTGGCTCAGTCGGTTAAGCGGCCGACTTCGGCTCAGGTCATGATCTCGCGGTCTGTGAATTCGAGCCCCACGTCGGGCTCTGTGCTGACAGCCCAGAGCCTGGAGCCTGTTTCAGATTCTGTGTCTCTCTCTCTCTCTGACCCTCCCCCGTTCATGCTCTGTCTCTCTCTGTCTCAAAAATAAATAAACATTAAAAAAAAAATTAAAAAAAAAAAAAAAAAGGCCTGAAGGAGGTGAGGGAGGGAGACACGCTGGTCTCTGGGGGAAGAGTGTCCCAAAAGGAGGAAAGAGAGGGGTGGCCCCAAGGCAGGAACATACCTAGTGTGTTCCTAGGAGCAGCAAAGAGGCTTCTGGAGTGAAGTAAGTGTGAGAGAGGGTAGGAAGTCAGGGGAAGCAGGATCCAGATGGTGTCTGAGCTTTGTAGGCCACCAGGAGGACTTTAGCTTTTACTCCGGATGAAAAACCACTGGAGAGTTTGGGGCAGAGAAATGACACGATCTGACCCAATAAAAAAGCCTAGAGCTACTGCTCTTCATTCACTCACTCAGCCATGTCCTAGGTGCCAGGCACTCTGCTGGTGACAAGCCGGACAGCCCCAGAGTGAGCCACGGGGCACTTGCGTGTGCATTTTGTGCTGACTAGAGAGCCCAGAGCAAAGAGAAAGGAGGCTCAGCTGGTGGCCTTCCCCCCACCACTTGCCTTCCCCGCCTGGCCCTGCAGCCTGGGCAGAGGGGCCCCAGGTAGCTGCAAGGCTCCATGCTCCAGAGGCTGCTAGAACCTGCGGGTTATAAATAGCATCTCCTGCGCTGCGAATCGAGCTGCTCTGAGTGAGTCAGAAGCTTGGAGCCACAGCCCCTCAAACTGCAACATCACTCCCTAACCCCACCACCCCACCCCCGGCTCCCTCACTGGCCTCTTCGTCAAGGCCAGGCCTCTGCTTCTCACCAGGACCCCCTCTGACGCTGTCACTCCCCACTTACCCCAGGTTGTACCTCCTGGGGCACTAGGAAGCCCACTGGTTCCTTAGTTCCGAGGGGCAGGATCGCATGATGTTGAAACACCCAAGATCTGGAGCCCACATGGATTTCAGGCCCAGCGCTCTCTTTTCTGACTGTGTGACCTTAGGCAAGTCACTTTCCCCTTGGGTGCCCCATTTTCCTCATTCATAGTAATAATAGTATTATGATAATAATAGGATATTATGGTAGTATGATGACGCTAATCATGACAGTACTTACTTCGTGGAAGTAGTATGGGGATTCACCAAGATACCCCACCTAGAGCACTTCACCCAGAAGCTGGCATATAGTAGCTCTTCAGTTAATGGAATGATAGTCCCTGTGCTCGACTAGATTGGAATCCAGAGAAAGGTAACGAGAAGTAAGAAAATGGCAGCTTCAGTCATTCTGCGGCGTATCTACCATGTGTTTGAAGTTCGGTTCCTGACTTATGTTGCAGGATCCCTCATACTCATAACCGAGCACATTGCACCATCTCCATCTTACGGAGGAAGGAACTGAGACTCAGAGAGAGAGCTGTGTGACTGTCCAAGCTGCACGGTGCCGATGCCAGGTGAGGCGGAATCTGGTGTCAGCAGAAAGGCATAGCCTGGTGAGGGCCGGGGCGGGGGGTGTGGTGGGTGCAGGTGGCCACGTGTTCCTAGCCCACCCCATATCTGCATACCGCTGTTGGGGGGGGAGGGGAGCAGGCAGGTGGGGGTGCAAAACATCTCTGCTTCCTCTGACATCCCTTCCGCTTTCCTGAGCTGAGAAGCTCTCTGCCACCCCACCCCCCAAAGCTTAGACTAGCTCTCCTCTGGGTGATATTGAGTGAAACTCTCTACTAACAGCTTTGCCAGAGATCTGTCTGTTTAATAATTTTTATATGTCACCCACATTGTTTAAAGAGGAAGGTGATAGGGGGGCACCTGGATGGCTCAGTCAGTTAAGCGTGTGGCTCTTGATTTCAGCTCAGGTCACGATCCCATGATTCGTGAGATCGAGCCCCCGTGTCGGCAGGGCTGTTAGTGCAGAGCCTCCTTGGGATTCTCTCTCTCCCTCTCTCTCTCTGCCCCTCCTTTGCTCTCTCTCTCTTTCAAAATAAGTAAATAAACTTAAACAAAAAAAAAGACGAAGGGAATAGTGATAATTTGGCTTCATTGAGACCCCCACTTTGATCCTACAGGATTGTGTCTGGTCACCCTCCCCCCCCCCCCCCCCCCGGCAAATCCCAGGTTCCAGAGACATCCCTGTAAGTCCCTTCTTCCTCCATGCTGAAAGCCTTGTAAAGTAGTAGAAAGGGCATGCATTTGGGAGTCAGACAAATCTGGCTCCCTTCTGGCTGAGCTGTGTGAGCTCAAGCAAGTCACTTTACCTCTCTGAGCCTCATTCACTTATCCATTCATTCAGCAAATGCATACCCAGCAACGTCAACCATGGACCAGGCTCTGCTGTGGCTCCTGGTGCTGCAGCCGTGGATGAGAGAGACAGAACCTCTGTCTTCATGGGGGCTTTCGTTCTGGCCGAGTAGAGGAGAGGCATAAGCAAACGATTTCAGAAGTGACGTGTGAATGAAGACAATGAAACCAGGCAATGCACTCATAACTGAGGTGGGGGCGAGGGTGAGCTCTCTCTCTCTATCATCAGATAAGGTGGTCTGGGAAGAGGTGATGGTGATTCTTCTGAATAATGAGAAGGAGCTGGCTGGGAGACCTCAAGGCAGAGGGGAGAGGAGGCATATGGGCCTCAGGAAGGGAGTGGGTTTTGTGTTGGAGCCGGCACAGTGGGAGTGAAGTGAGCCAGGGGAACAGGGCGAGGAGATGAGGTCAGAGAGGTAGGCAGGGGCTAGATCACAGGGCGCCTAATGACGAGCATCCCAAGTTTGTGCACTTGTGCGCATTTGGTGAGATGATGCATCATCTACACAGGGCCTGGCATACAGTGGGTGCTCGATACGCAGTAACTGTTATGATTCTGAGCCTTCCTTGTCTTCCTCCACCGCCCAGGGACCCCCATGTCCCTCCCCTGCCTCTCAACCCCCTTGACCCCATCGGCACTCCCTGGTCCCAGGAAAAGGACAAGGACACTGGCAAGCATCATAGCAGGAAGGAGAAAGTAGTCCCCACCCTCCCTCACCCCTTCCCCCTCCAAACCCTCCCACTGCAGCCCAGTGATTTTCCTGCCTCTCACAGGCGATTTTATTAAACATCTCGAAAAAATATTCTCTCACTCCCTCTCTCTTTATTTATAAAAATCAACTTAACACCCTGCTCCTTTGTTCTATTTGGAAACTGGAACAGCCTGGTTTATATTTAGCCGAAATCCTGCTCCTTTCCCCACAGACTCCAGCACAGCCCAAAGAGCTAGAGGGGCTAAGGAAGGAGAAGAGGGGAGGCTGGGGGAGGAAAGGGTGCCGCAAAGGACAGAAGGATCCCCCAGAGGTCCGGGGCTCGGCTAAGTCCAAAGGACCCGGAAGGGTAAGATCTGAAGAGTCCTTTCCAGGATTTGGGGTGCCCAAGTCCAGGCTTGCCCACTCTCTAGTCCCATCCAGATATCCTCAGAAGAAGAAAGACAGGGGAGATAGAATACAGAGAAGAGAAACCCCCAACCCCAATCTGGAACCAGGCTTGGAAAGGCAGTCAGTACAAGGCAGTCATTAGGGGTGTGAGTCCTGGTTCAAAGCCAAACTCTCCTCTGCCCCTCACTAGCTGCCTGCTCCTGGGGAAATTAACATGTTCATTAGAGTGTGTGTGACACATACTATGTGCTTGATAAATGATAGTTATTGTTATTAATCACTGTCAGCTCAAGGAAACTGTTCATCTCCTCAAACTTCAAGGCTCCGCTCAAAAGCCTCTTCCTCCATGAAGCCTTCCCAGATTAAAACCTATCTGGTCAGCTAAGAGCAGTGGGCTAGACACTGGAGCTACGGAGAGGAATGAGCAGGAACATATGGGGCCTCCAATGTGATCAGAAATGGACAGAGAACATACCAGGTTCCAGAAGAGACTTTAGCTCCACTTGGGCAAGGCCAATTCTCCTTTGTTCTCTGCTGTATCTGTAGAGCTAAAGACAGCACCTGGCACATGGAAAGACAGCATCAAATAGTGGTTAAGAATATATCTGGGTAGGGGCGCCTGGGTGGCTCAGTCAATTAAGCATCCGGCTCTTGATTTTGACTCAGGTCATGATCTCACAGTTCATGGGTTCAAACCTCACCTAGGGCTCTGAGCTGACAGTGCAGAGCCTGCTTGGGATTCTCTCTCTCTCTCTCTCTCTCTCTCTCTCTCTCTCTCCCTCTCTCTCTGCCCCTCCCATGCTCACCCTATCAAAATAAATAAATGAACTTAAAAAAAAGAATATATCTGGGTAAAGAAATTGTGTTATGTCCATACAATGAAATACTATTCCTCCATAAAAAGGAATAAAGTACTTAACACATGCTATAGTGTTAATCAACCTCAAAAACGTTATGCTAAGTGAAAGAAGCCAGATGTGTAAGGTCACATACTGCACAACTCCATTTATATGAAGCGTCCAGAATAGGTAAATCCATAGAGAAAGAATGCAAATTGATGGCTGCCAGGAGCTGTGAGGGAGAATGGGAAATAACTTCTTAATGGGGTGCAAGGTCTCCTTTTGGGGTGATAAAAGGTGTTTTTGGAACTGGATAGAGGTGGTGGCTGTGCAATGCCACTGAACTGTTCACTTTAAAAATGGTTAATTCTGGGGCGCCTGGGTGGCGCAGTCGGTTAAGCGTCCGACTTCAGCCAGGTCACAATCTCGCGGTCCGTGAGTTCGAGCCCCGCGTCAGGCTCTGGGCTGATGGCTCAGAGCCTGGAGCCTGTTTCCGATTCTGTGTCTCCCTCTCTCTCTGCCCCTCCCCCATTCATGCTCTGTCTCTCTCTGTCCCAAATAAATAAATAAACATTGAAAAAAAAATGGTTAATTCTGGGGCGCCTGGGTGGCTCAGTTCGTTAAGTGTCTGACTCTTGGTTTTGGCTCAGGGCTCAGATCATGATCTCATGGTTCGTGAGATCGAGCCCCTCATCGGGCTCTGCGCTGACAGCACAGAGCCTGCTTAGGATTCTGTCTCTCTCTCTCTCTCTCTCTCCCCCCCACCCCCACCCAGCTCAGAATAAATAAATGAACTTAAAAAATAAAAATGGTTAATTATATGTTATATGAATCTTACCCCAATTTTCTTTTTAAAAGGACATATATGGGTCCACTTCATGGTCATGTCAATGGATGTGAGAAAACATTTGATAAAACTGACACCTATTCATGATTTAAAAACAAAAACAAACTGGGGTGTCTGGGTGGCTCAGTCGGCTAAGCGTCCCACTCTTGACTTCCGCTCAGGTCATGATCTCACGGTTCATGAGATCAAGCCCTGCATCAGGCTCTGCTCTGTCAGCATGGAGCCTGCTTGGGATTCCCTCTCCCTCTCTCTCTACCTCTCCTGTGCTTGCGCTCATGCTCTCTCTCTGTAATAACAATAGTAATAACAATAACTATCATTTATCATTTATCTCTCTGTCTCTCTAAATAACTAAACATTTAAAAAATAAAAACAAAACCAAATGTGAGCGGGGTCGAAATAAAGAGGACTTCTTCAACCTGTTGAAGGGATTTTTCAAAACCCCTGTAGCTGGGGGGCCTGGCTGGCTCAGGCTGTCCAGCGTGCAATCTTGATCTCAGGGTCAAGCCCCATGAAGGGCCCCATGAAGAGATTACTTTAAAAAAAAAATTGTTTTAATCTTTAAAACCTACAGCTAACATATGCTGAAAGTCTGAACGCTGTCATCCCTAAGACTGGGAACGAGGCAAAAATATCTGCTCTCACCACTTCTCTGCAACGTTGGACTGGAGGTCCTTAGCCAGGACAAGAAGGGAAGAAAAAAATGGGGGAAAGGATGAAGTTAAATTGCGTTTATTTGCAGATGACATGATTATGCATGTAGAATATCCTAGGAATTCACAAAAGAAAGAAATCTCTTGGAACTAATCACGTTATTTAGTAAGATGAAAGGATACAGGATCAATATATAAAAAGGCATTTCTCTATACTAGCAATGAATGATTGGAAAGTGAAATGTATGAAAACATTTCTAATAGTATCAAAAAAATAAAAGATTTAGGGATGCGGTTCGTAAACACGTGCAAGATTTGTACACCAAAAACTACAAAATCTTATGGAAAGACAGGAAAGACATAAATAAATGAAGAGATATACCATGTTCATGTATAAAATGTCCCTTCTCCCAATACTGAGGCTACAGAGTCAGTGCAATCCTAATCAAAATTTCAGCAGGTGTTTAGGGGCACCTGGGTGGCTCACCCTTGATTTCAGCTCAGGCCATGACCTCACGGTTCATTCGTGGGATTGAGTTCCGAGGCATCAGGCTCTGTGCTGACAGCAAGCAGCCCGCTTGGAATTCTCTCTCTCTCCCTCTCTCTGCCCTTCCCCTGCCTGCCCTTGCTCTCTTTCTCTCTTTCTCTCTCTCTCTCTCAAAATAAATAAATAAACATTTTTTTAAAAGAAGGGAACATACTGGGGCACCTGGGTTGCTCAGTCCATTAAGCACTCTGCACTAGGCGTGGAGCCTGCTTAAGAGTCTCCCTTTCCCTCTGCCCCTCCTCCCTCACTCTCTCTCAAAAAAACAAAACAAACAAAACAAAATAAAACAAAAACAAGAGGCACCTGGATGGCTCAGTTGGTTAAGCCTCAGACTCTTAATTTAGGTCATGATCTCATGGTTTGTGAGTTGGAGCCATACACTGGGCTCTACACTGACCGCATGGAGCCTGCTGGGGATTCTCTCTCTCCTTCTCTTTCTCTGCCCCCTCCCTGTCTCTCTCTCAAAAATAAATAAATAAGCTTAAAAAACAAAAAAGGGAACATACTGTATCATTTCATTTATATGAAGTTTCAAAACAGACAAAACCATCAATAGTGACACAAAGCAGATCCGGGATTGCCTAGAACAGGGCCCAGGAGGAATGACTGCAAAGGGGCATGAGAAAATTTGCGGGAAGAAAAATGTTCTAGAACTTCATTATTGTTTTTTTATCACATGTAAATTATATCCCAATAAAACTGATTTTAATTTTTAATATTTATTTATTTTTGAGAGAGAGAGAGAGAGAGAGAGACAGAATGTGAGCTAGGAGAGGGGCAGAGGGAGAGGGAGACACAGAATCCGAAGCAGGCTCCAGGCTCCGAGCTGCCAGCACAGAGCCCGATGTGGGGCTCGAACTCACAGACGGTGAGATCATGACCTGAGCCAAAGTCGGACGCTTGACAGACTGAGCCACCCAGGCGCCCCTAAAATAAGGCCACTTGGGTTGAATTCCTGGTTTTGCTACTTACTAGCTGCATAATCTTGGGCACATTGTTTCATTTTTCTGTGCCTCTATTTCCCCAACAGAGAAGTGACAACAGTAATAACAATACTTCCCTCATAGGATTTTTTTGTTTTGTTTTGTTTTTGTTGGTTGGTTTTTTGTTTCATTTCATTTGTTTTGTTAGATAAGCTCATGGGACTTTTGAAAGGATTAAATGAGCAAATGTATTACGAACTGTGGTAGCCAGCCTCTAAGAAGGCATCGGAGGATTCCTGCCCGCTCGGAGTCCCCTCCACAGCGAATAGGCTGACCTGTGTAACAAATGGGATATTGTCAAAATGATGGTCTGTGGTTTTGGAGACTAGGTCAGAAAACGCATTGAACCTGCTGCTCTTGGATCACTCTTTCTAGGGGAAGCCAGCCACCAAGTCATGAGGCTTTTCACGCAGCCCTGTGGAGAGGTCTGGATGGCAAGGAACAAAGGGCGCCTGCCAACAGCCAGCGCCAGCTTGCCAGCCATGGAGGTGAGCCAGCTGGACCCTTCCGATGACTGGCTAACAGCTTGACTGCAACCTCAGGGGAGACTGGGAGTCAAAACCACCCCCGCTGAGCTGCTCCCAATTCTTGGCCCACGGAAACTGTGCAAGGTAATAAGTGTTTATAAGGTTTTTAAAGCCACTGCGTTTTGGGGGGAATTTTTACGCACCGATGAACAACGGATATAAGCAGTAATGATAAGAGCTGACGTTTTTGAGCATTTATCCACATGACCTAGTACAACCACTAGTAGGTGAGAAACAGAATACCTTCCATTTGTCTGTCCAGAACCACTCTCCATCCTTTCCCAGCCTGCTCTGTGCCCACGGAGACTGACCTGTTCAGAGTCAACAGACTCCTATATCTTTTGGCCAGAGGGGAGCCCCGAGGAAGAGATGGAAGGGAGAGGGAAGAGAGAGGTCAGGCTATTTCTTCCTCTGCTCCCTCCCTGCAGGGCACCTCAGGCTGGCTCTGTCCCTCAACAGAAGGTACAGCTTCTCCCTCAAGGTGGTTCACTCCATACGAGTCCTTCTGAGCCCTGGAAGGCTCCCTTGACTGAGTCCTTCTGAGCCCTGGTAGGCTCCCTTGACCGCCAGGCCTAGGGAGGTAAGAGCTCTCACACTGCAACTGGCCCAGGAACGAACTACCCCTTTGCGATTCCCTGACACCCCGCTGACATCTAAATAGTCCCTTTATTCAGCCTTCCTCAAATTATCCAATTTGAGTATGCCATCTGTTTCCTTCTAGGACTGACTGGCCACCCTAATTAAAATCCCCCTACTTTACAAAGGAAGTAGAAATCCAAAGGGGACCAAGGAGATAACTCAGAAACAAATGGAAAGCAACAGAGGCCACCCAAGAGGGGCACTCTGAAGGCAAAGGGCACTGATACATACTTGCTGACTGACTGACTGAATGAATGAATGAATGAGTGAATGAATGACTCGGTAGGCACCAGGAAGGACTCATTTGCCCTACTTCCTGGAAGGCTATGGATACTAAAACAGGATGTCAGCAACTGAACTACTTCACCCAGACAACTGATAACCAGCTCCCCAGCCCAGCCCAGAGCTGGCTTCAGGAAGTCCTGCATTGGAAGGATTAACACACAGCCTGGGACACCAAGGAAGCAGCCCCCCACCTCAGTGAGACTCAAGAGTTATTTTTGAAAAGCAAGCAAGGCCTGCGGGCGGCCCTGGCAGAGCGCAGAGCTGGAAGAGAGAGCCAGAAGCAGAGAGAACAGATACAGCAGAGCCCACGCCCCGTCCCTGTGACGTCAGCCCCACGCACTGTGACATAACACCGTGGGGGGGAGGGGGTCTTGCATCCCCCCCTTGGGAATTTTTTATTAATTGCGGCAAGATATGCATCCTATAAAATTTACCCTCGGGAATTTCTGAGCCCCTCCCACCCAGGCTGACTGACATCGGGGAATGAATTCCAGCAGGAACAGGGAGTCAGATCACCAGCCAAAAAAATTTGTGTCCAAATGGTGTGTGAGATTTTGCTCAAGTCTGGAAAAATCCTCAAACCGAAGAGAGGGTCACTGCTATACGGCAAAGTCAGGGGCCAAGGATTAGGAAGGGGTTGGCAGAGTGGGAAGAGTGGGAAGGCAGGAATGGCTGTGGGGCAGGGGAGGAGAGGAGCAGAGAGCAGGTGTTGAGGCTGGAGTCTGAGCTGAGAGCTGCAGGGGGCAGAGAGGGAGCAGCCGGAACAGTAGCTAATGAACCCTGTAGATGACAGGAGAGGTGTTTGCAACTGGGGGTGGGAGGTCAGAGGCAGCCAGAGGGAGCCATCAAGGCCCCAAAATAACTCGCTTCTGCCAGGAGGCTCTGGAACTAATCAAGGTAGGGATAATCCAAAAATCCATCAGAGAGAGGTTGCTGAGAGGGCTTGCGTCTCTAAGCAGGGATTGGAGAGGAGGGAAATTAACAAAAGATGTGGTTTGCAGTGAAGAGCTGTCATCCTAGAAGATGGTGCCAACATGAAGGCAAGGTCTTTCTAGGGTTCCCCTCTCACTCAACAGTAGTTGAGTGCCTACTGTGTGCCCAGGGCTATAGCATACAGCTAAAAATGTGAGCTCTGCAGTCAGCCTGCCTGGGTTTGAATCGATCCCTGCTCTGTTTCTTGCTGGCTGTGTGATCTTGAGCAAGTCACTTTTTCTCTGCTCTGAGCCTGTTTCCTTACCTGGAAAATAGGGATAAAATTCATCCTTGCCCCATAGGATAGGTGAGAATAAGAGGTCAATGCATGAGAACTTTTTTTTCTAAATGTTTATTTTTGAGAGAGAGAGAGCATGCACAAGAGCGGGGGAGGGGTGGGGGAGGGGCAGAAAGAGAGGGAGACAGAAGACCCAAAGAGGGCTCTGAGCTGTCAGCACAGAGCCCGAGGCAGGGCCCAAACTCACGAGCCATGAGATCATGACCTGAGCCAAAGTTGGACGCTTAACCGACATAGGGACCCAGGCGCCCTTCAGTGCATGAGATCTTTCAATAGGAATCCTCCCAGCAACCTTGGGGAGCAGGGTGGTAGGCTTCCATCTCCTCACCTTACAAAGGGGTAAACTGAGGCCCACAGAGCCCAAAGCTACATGGTTAATAAGTGTCAGGAGCCTGATTTAGGTCAGTCTACACCAGAAACCTGTGCGTTCACTAGGCCCAGCTGCCCTGGCCCCGCCTAGTTGGCAGCTTGGAGGACAGTAGTCTACAGGCAGGGCCCAGCCCCTCACCCACCACCTCTCTTCCAGGCCCCGTGTAGGGAAGCAGATCCAGCGTGGACATTGGAAACAGCCTCTGGGTAAGACACGTGGGGTCCAGTAGGGAGAACGTTGCCTTCAACTCACTGTATGACCTTGGCTGAGTCCTTTCCCCTCTCTGGACCTCTGATTCCCCAGTTGCAAGACAAAGGGATGGTAATAGGTGATTGTAGTCCTGGAGAGTCTAGGTTCTGTCTCGCTGTTCTCTCCCAGAGCCTGGTGCAAGAGGCAGTGAGGAAGGGGCTGAGAAAGAGACCTGGGCAGCTACAAGGCAGTCTTCCCTGCATGTTCCCTTTGCTTCCTCTGGGGAGTGGGTCTAGGCAGAGGGAACAGGAAATGCAAAAGTCGGAAAATGAGAGCAGGCATGGCACGTCTGGGGAGCTGCAAGCAGGATAATCTAGGAGTCTGGTTTATTCGTCCATACGGTTATTCAACCATTGTTTGTTACTTTGAGCCAGACATTGTTTTAGGCACTGGGGACACAGCAGAGATCAACATAGATGAAACCACATCTTTTGGGAGCTCACATTGGGGGAAATGGAAAAACCAAGTAAACACCACTAACCAGGATAGTTTCAGGATGGGACCAGTGCTCTGTGAATAATAGCAAATATCTATAAAGCATCTACTAGGGGCCAAGCATGGTTAGCAGATGTTAAATAATGTTATTTTTACTATGATCCTACGAGGTACACACTACTATCATCATCCCGATTTTACAGCTGAGGAAACTGGCACCTAACTTGCCCAATGCCACACAGCCAGGAAGCAACAGAACTAAGATTCAAACCCAGGCCATCTGGCTCCATTGTGCTGGCTGGTGGGGAGAGCATTAAGTAGGGCAATTCATTCAGAGAAAAGCACTCTACAGAGGTAAAATTTGAGCCAAGACACATAATAAGACACCGGCCATGGGAAGCCCAGGAGACAGAAGGTTCCAGATGGAGCACTGAGTACACTGAGTACAAAGAGTACTTTGTACTCAGTGCAAAGGCCCTGAGGCAGCTAGGAGCTTAACAGGTTGGAGGAAGAGCAAGGAGGCCAGTTTCAGCTGGAGCAGAGGACAGAAGAGGTCAGAGGGGTACAGTGCAGACACAGGGAGGGAGAGGGGAGGCACAGGGGTTGCTCCCAGGATCTTCTCAACTGGGATGCTGAGAAGCATGGTCTAAAGTGGCACCGACAGGCATGACACCCTCCTCTCCCTGCTTCAGACCAATTTGGTCCAGGCAGAGCTGAGCTTCCCCCAGGGTCTATTGCTGGGAAAGAGCCCCAGCTGGGCTGCCTTCCTGCCTGCTGTTTATCTGCTGTCGCACCTCCTCCCCTAGGCAGCCACCTCCATGACTGATGGAGACCGGAAGGACTCCCCCCACCATTCCTCACTCTCATTCCTAAATCCACATCCTCCCTGGCCTTGGCCTTCCCGCAGACACACGAATGAGGGCCTCTTGTTCCCCAGCAGAGGCCAGACTGCCTTGCTCCTGCCCTCAGGGATCACCTAGGCCTGAGTCTAGTCCAAGCCAAGCAAGAGGGTGGAGTGTTCCTCAGCCTGGCCTAGTCCTATAGGCCGGAGTTAGAATCCAAATTCCACCTCATGTGCTCTTGGTCAAGTAGCTTCACCTCTGGAAGCCTCAGTGTCTACATCCAAAAACTGGGAATAATGCCCCATAGGGTCACTTTGAGAATTAAATATAATGGGCCTGAGAGGGAGCTTCTGAGGGCTGGAAATGTTCTGTATAGCTCTACCTAGGAGGTAGTGTGTATAACAGTTAATGAAGTGTGCACTGTAGGTTTGTCCATTTTATACTATGACCATTATAGCTCAGTTTTTTAAAAAAGGGCTAAGTGCCTGGCCCACGATTAGCACTACGTAAATGTCACCTAGTATTAGTGTCAGGTGTTCTGTAACTATTCCTTGAATGAAAACTTTAGTATCCTTCCCTATTTCATTTATCACGTATGTGATTCCCAGTGCTCTCAGTGACTGGATGCTAGGGGAGCCCAAACTTAACACATCCAGGACTGAGCTCTTCCCTTCACTTGAGTCTTGCTCTTCCCCAAGGCTTCCCCATCCGCCCAGATCAGAAATGTGGATGTCACTCGGCCCGCCTGTTCTTCTGCCCTCCTTCCCCAAGCCCTCACAGCCAACCCACCACCAAAACTCTCTCCAAAGAGAGACCCCAACAATTCCTTCCCTTCACTGAAAGGGCATGCTGACCGGCAGTCACGAGATAGAGCTTAACCACATGCAAAAGAATGAAGCTGGACCCCTGTCTCATTCCGTGGACAAAAATGAACTCATTGGATCAATGTCCTAAATGTTAGGAGCTAAAACTACAAAACAATTAGAAGGAAAGATAAGGGTAAATATTCATGACCTCAGACTTGGCAGTGGATTCTTAGATTTGACACCAAAAGCACAAGCAATAAAAGAAAAATAGATAAATGGGATTTTATGAAAAGTAAAAATCTGTGTGCAAAGGACATTATCAAGAAAGTTAAAGGGGGCACCTGGCTGGCTGTATCAGTACAGCATGTGACTCTCCATCTAGGGGTGTGAGTTCAAGCCCCACATTGGACATGGAGCTTACTTAAAATAAAAAAAATTTTAAGTGAAAAGATGGGGGCGCCTGGGTGGCTCAATCAGTTAAGCGTCTGACTTCGGCTCAGGTCACGATCTCCCAGTTCATGAGTTCAAGCCCTGTGTCGGGCTCTATGCTCACAGCTCAGAGCCTGGAGCCTGCTTCAGATTCTGTGTCTCCCTCTCTCTCTGCCCCTCCCCCACTCATGCCCCCTCGCTCTCTCTCTCTCTCAAAAATAAACATTTTTTAAAAATAAAAAATAAAAATAAATAAAAAGTGAAAAGACAGCCTACAGAATGGGAAGAAATGTTCACAAAACATTTCTGATACTAAACCCCTGATAAGGGTTTAGGTTCCCGAATATATAAAAAACTCTTAGCAACTCAACAACAAAAAGACAAAGGACCCAATTAAACAATAGATAAAGAAGAGATACAACAGGCCAAAAAGCACATGAAAAGATGTTCAACACCCCTGGTAATTAAGCAAAGGCAAATCAAAACCATAATGAGATACTGCCTCACATCTATTAGGATGGCTTCATTTTTTAAAAATTTAATGTTTATTTATTTTTTGAGAGAGAGAGAGAGAGAGAGAGAGAAGAGGCAGTGAGAGGGAAGGAGACACAGAATCCAAGGCAGGCTCCAGGCTCTGAGCTGTCAGCACAGAGCCCGACGCAGGGCTCGAACTTGTGAACCGTGAGATCATGACCTAAGCCGAAGTCGGACACTTAACCAACTAAGCCACCCAGGTGCCCCATATTAGGTTGGCTTTAATAAAAATAAAAATAAACAGTAAAAAGTAGGTGTCAGCAAGGATGTAGAGAAAAAGGAACCCTCATACATACTGGTGGGAATGTAAAATGTTCAGCCACTGCAGAAAACAGCTTGGTGGTTCCTCGAAAAGTTAAACATAGGGTCACCATATGACCCAACAATTCCATTGCTAGGTATATACCCAAAAGAATGAAAAACAGGCAGTTGGGGTACCTGGTGGCTCAGTCAGTTAAGCATCTGACTCTTGATTTGGGCTCAGGTCATGATCTCACGGTTCATGAGATCGAGCACCTTGTCGGGCTCTGCACTGATAGCGTGGAGCCTACTGGGGCTTCTCTCTTTCTCTTCCCCTCTCTCTCCCCCTCCCCCATGCCCTCTCTGTGTCTCAAAATAAATAAATAAACTTAAAAAAGCAAACAAACAAACAAGGGGCGCCTGGGTGGCTCAGTCGGTTGAGCATCCCACTTTGGCTCAGGTCAATCTCACAGTTCGTGAGTTCGAGCCCTGCATCAAGTTCGCTGCTGTGAGTTCAGACCCTGCTTCAGATCCTGTCCCCCCACCTCTCTCTGCCCCTTCCCCGTTCATGCTCTCTCTCTCTCTCTCAAAAATAAATAAACATTAAAAAAGAACCTTAAAATATTTTTTAAAAATAAAAAATAAATTAAAAAAAAAAAACCCAGAGACTCAAACAGATAATTATTTACTGATGTTCATAGCAACATTATTCACAATATGGCAGAAACAACCCAAATGCCTTTCAACAGATGAATGAACAAGTTATGGTCTATCCATACAATGGAATATTATTCAGCCATAAAAAGGAATGAAGCACCCATGCATGCAATTTGGATGAATCTTGAAGACATTACGCTAAGTGAAAGAAGCTAGACACAAAAAGTCACATTTATAGGACTCCTTTTATATGAAATACCCAGAACAGGCAAATCCACAGGGACAGAAAGCAGGTTCCCAGAGGCTGGGGAGGGAAGCAGGGAGTAATGGCATAATGAGTATGGAGTGTTCTTATGAGGTGATTAAAAAGTTGAAATTAAGGAGGAGAGCCTGGGTGGTTCAGTCAGTTAAGCGTCAGACTCTTAACTTCGGCTTATTGGTTAATGAGTTTGAGCCCCACATCAGGCTTTGCACTGACAATGCGTATACTCTGTCTCCCTCTCTCTCTGCCCTGCCCCCACTTGTTTTCTCTCTCTCTCTCAGAAATAAATAAGCTTTTTTTTAGAAGTTGAAATTAAGGAGAGATGTTGGTTGCAAAACATTGTGAATGCATCAAATACCACTAAATTGTGCAGGAGGAAAAGGAGGAGGAAAGGAAGAAGTGTTGTTTCCCCTGCCCTTGAATCAGGCTAGTCTTGGGACTGGTTTTCACCATTAGGATGCAGCAAAAGTAATGTTCTGAGACTTTGAGCCCAGGCCTTAAAAATCATGGCAGTGTCTTCTTGGAAGCCACCTGCTACTCTGTGAGAAGCCCAAGCCCCATGGAGAGGCCCACATGGAGGTGAACTGAGGCCCCGCAGCCAACAGTATGCCCAGCCAGCAGCCAACACCGACCGCCAGCCATGTGGATGAGGCCATTTTGGAACCCTTGGGGCACCCCTGTGCCCCCAGCCAACACCACATCAGACAGAACTGCCCTGTCACCCCCACAGAATCATTTAAAAAGTTGTTCTTTTAAGCCACAGAGTTTGGGGGTGATTTAGTACACAACAACACATAACCGATTCCACTTCTGCAAACATCACGAGGCCACCCATTGCTCTCCACCCCCACCCCCAGCACCCCTAGGCCAAGTCTCTCTTCTCCCTCCAGGCAGTTGCCTCCTCACTGTCTCCCCACCTTCAGTTCAACCTCTTGGGGTTCCCCCTCCTCCAAAGCCAGAGGGACTTCTAGCCCCCAAGCACATTCTCTCAGCCTTCCAGATAGCAGCCAAGCCCCTTAGTGTGGGC